GTTTGCCCTGGAATCGCATGTCGTGGCAAAGGTTCAATGCTCTACTTGGATTCGCGTGCGTCATGCGTACTTACATTAGGAGGATAATTCGCAAGCACTGTCTGCGGTTTGCCCAAGACAATAGTCTTCCATGCGAGTGGGTCGCTGTATGGAGAGACAGTAACCTGACTTATCACCTGAAATCTTCCTGAATCAATCCCGAAAAGTCCAGATGACTGAGTCCTAAACTGAACGATGCCCGCATTATGTCAAGGTATTGATTCGCGCGCAAGAACCCAACGTCAATATCGAAATTTGGGTGATCACTTGGTGGCTTGAGCTAACCTCCCATGTCATGGTCCAATCGGAATACATTTTGTGCACCGTATGTAAGACCTACGGTCATTACACAACCTCATAAGACTACTTACTATTAATATTTAATACTTACACTTAAACCACTTAAGACTTATATATATATTCTATTTTCATTCTTTTCTGGATTCTGGTTCCTTAGAGATATCGGGACTGATCCCTGCCCTCTATCCTTCGGAACCAGGTAAAGTCCTTATTTCATTTCATTGTTTCATTCATTATATGTTGTAGGATTGCTGAGAGATATCGGGACTGATCCCTGCCCTCTATCCTTCGGAACCAGACGAGTTCCTGTTGGTATTGAAATTTAGATCAGGTCTCTTGGGTTATAGAAAACCCTTTGCTGTGTCTTTCACAGTGTCCCGTTCTTAGTATTCGAGTGAAGGATAGTGAAACCTTACACTTTTTTTTTCTTCAACCCACCTCGATACTGAGCGCATTCGACCAAAACTTTATCGAATGCGCCACCGCGAACTCAATTGAAACTCAACCTTAAAATCACCTCAAATTAGTTCAACTTTACCCCTCAAATTTCTTTTAATTCACTACTCTTTTTTATTATTTCAATAAACGTTCTCTCGTCACGTGCATGCCTGCACGTCAACAACCACCAACCGACAAACTTCCGCCAGTTCCATTGCCAGACCCCGAAGCTATACTCCGCAAAGGTCAACGTCAACAACGTCTATCGAGGCCTAACGTTGATACTGCCAGACGAGCTGCTGCCCAGCCACCACCTTTGCCAGTCACTCCAGCACGTAATCGTACAGATTTCGTACCGCCAGCAACGCCTGCCCGCACTCACACATACGCAGCAGCCTTACCGATCTTGCCAGAATCTGACACATCAACCTTATCGTCGCTACCGCCGTCCCCCACATTGAACACTAATCCGATCGTATCCGAATCGATTCAATTGTCACCCAAAACTTTCCCGAAGATGGCAGATAATCATACTCAGATGCCACCTGACGCATCTAATGCGGCGCTAATGAAGGCCATTGTCGACTCCCAACTTAGCACTAACGATCGTATGGCGAAGTTGGAAGAATTCATGATGAAAGCGATGAGCCTTAAAGAGACACCACCACCAGCTCCCCCGCCAGCCGACACCAAGCCACCGAGTGGGATCGACTTGACAAAATTCCGCACATCTGACGGCCCGGTCTATAAGGGACCGTATCACGAGACCGAACCCTTTTTGAGATGGTATTCGGCATTGAAGACCTTCTTCCGAACTAAGGGTGTGATAGAGGACAAAGACCGCATCATTCTGGTTGGCAGTTTCTTGGAAGAACCAAACGCTCACGCATTCTACGAAGGCGGTTTCGATTCTTTCGTCAAAGGATCCTGGAAGGACTTCCTGAATCGCCTGTTTGCGGCAAGCTTACCTGCTGACTGGAAAGATCGATTGTATGAGAAGGCACAACACCTCAAGATGTCAGTTTATGAAGACTTCAAAGCCTACAGCACCCGAGCTAGGGGAATTCAGATCTTGATCAATTTTCACACGATCACTTTAGATGACCATCAATTAGCAAAATTCGTAGAATATGGAATGATAGAGGAATTGAAGTCTCATGTCAAACTCTGGGGTTTCACGAAATACACCAAAGAATTCACGTACTCGGGTTTTGAGAATCAATGTGAAACACTCTATGAATCACTAGTAGCATCCCATGTCATCACGAAGAAGTCACGATCAAATGTCTTCGCAAACTCAGCGTATACGCAACCTCGAGCGCCTTCAGCCAATCCACCCAAACGATTGACCGACGAGGAATTCCAGTGGAAAATTCACTCATATCTCGACTCAATCGGCAAGTGCCACTTCTGCAAAGGGTACTGCGGCAGCGAATACCGAGCTTGCAAAGGACCGTACGTACGAGAAAAAACGATTTTCCCGCCAGGTTATGTTGCCCCTCCCAAACCTGCGAATTACATACCGCCGAAAGCGAGATCAGCACCTCTAGCAACTCACAACCAAGCTGGTAGATCAACTCAACATCCAGCTGGCCGCCCCGCCACATCATATGCGAAAGTAGCAGCGGCAGGTGAATTTCCAGAACTCGATGAAGCCTCGGTAGCTGCCCTCCAAGCTTTAGACGAGGAACTCGATCTGGCGGAAGCCGAAGGGTGCGTACCAACTCTCAAACCTCCTCGAGTGATTATTGAATTCACATGTAACGGCCAAACCCTCCGAGCGCTAGCTGACCCAGGTGCTGAGGTCAATCTCTTGACAGATCGGGCGGCCGAGCAACTTAAAATCAAACGTAGGAAGCTGGTGCGACCGACTCAACTCAGCCTAGCCGTCAACACCGAAGGCCCTCCACCCATGCTCACAGAGTTCGCCGTCCTAAACCTCGCAGAAACTACATCAAACAGGAAATTCGATAGAACGTACTGTAAGATTGGGGAAGTGGGGGGAGACTTTGATTTAATTTTGGGAACACCTTTTTTCAATGTTTTTCAATTATCTGTTTCTATCAGCCAGCGTGCTATTGTGTGTGAAAGATCAGGGTTAAAAATTTATGATTATAGAGTTTTAAAAGAATGGAATGAAAAAGTGAACAAGTTGTCAGTGCCTCGCATAACTGAACCGGTGAAAGAGTGCAAATCAAAGTGGGAGAAGCAGGTCAGTATGAAAGAAAGGCAGCCGTTGTTTGATGACTTTGAGGAGAGAGAAAGAGAGCTATTTGAAGAATTCAACGACCTATTTCCCGTAGATATTCCGGCGGTATCAGATGAAGCTGAAGAAGAAGGCCTTTTTGTAGACGGATCTTTTCCAGAACGACTGCAAAATGAAAGCTCAAGGATAAGACACAAAATAATCTTGAAAGATCCGAATGCAGAAATCAAAGAGAAGCAGTATAACTACCCTCCCAAACACATGAATGCATGGAAGAAGTTAGTCGACCAACACCTCGCCGCCGGCAGAATCCGACGTTCAACAAGTCAATACTGTTCGCCGAGTTTGATTATACCAAAGAAGGACCCTACTGCACTTCCAAGATGGGTATGCGATTACCGCGTCTTGAACAGCCTGACCGTGAGGGACCGCGCGCCGCTTCCTAACGTGGACCGGTTGGTCAGGCTTGTAGGAACTGGGAAAGTTTTTTCCATTATAGATCTCACAAACGCTTTTTTTCAAACACGTATGAGGGAGGCTGACATTCCATTGACGGCCGTTCTCACGCCCTGGGGTTTATACGAATGGGTCGTCATGCCTATGGGATTGACGAACGCACCCAGCACTCATCAAGGACGACTTGAGGAAGCCCTTGGCGAACTATTGAACTCAATCTGTGTCGTATATCTGGACGACATAGTGATATTCTCGAACTCCGAAGAGGAACATGCCTTACATACACGAATGGTTCTTCAAAAGTTACGAGAGGCAAACTTATACTGTAGCAAGAAGAAAACAAAATTATTCAAGAAAGAAGTCAAATTTTTAGGTCATTGGATTTCAGCAGAAGGAATCAGAGCAGATGATGAGAAAGTGGAGCAAGTACTCAACTGGAAGACGCCGAAAACACCGAGAGGGGTCAAGAAGTTCCTTGGTACCGTGCAATGGATGAAGAAGTTCATCTGGGGACTTGAGAAGCACGTACACAGATTGACACCTCTCACCAGCATCAAACTGGACCCGTCAAAATTCAAATGGGGGGAAGAGGAAGACAACGCCTTCAACAATATCAAACGATTGATGACTTCGCTGCCACACCTGAAGACCATTGACTTCGACTCGGATGATCCTCTCTGGTTATTTACGGACGCGAGTGGAAGTGGACTGGGAGCAGCACTGTTTCAAGGCAAGGAATGGAAACAAGCGTCGCCAATTGCGTATGAATCACGTCAGATGTCTCAAGCCGAAAGAAACTACCCCGTTCACGAGCAGGAGCTGTTAGCAGTAATGCATGCATTACACAAATGGCGCATGCTACTACTTGGTATGAAGGTCAACATAATGAGCAACCATCACTCTTTGATTTACCTTTTAAAACAGCGGACTTTGAGCAGACGTCAGGCGCGGTGGATTGAGACTTTAGCAGATTTTGACGTGGATTTTAAGTACATCAAAGGGGAGGATAATAGTGTAGCAGACGCGCTTTCAAGGAAAGACAGTGAAGAAGAGGAGGTAGAACAGGCAGGAGTAGATTGTATCGCGGCATTGATAGAAGCAGGTCCTACCCTGGCTCCAACGGTTCGAAAACGCATTCTTGACGGATACGATAACGACTCATTTTACAGTACCATTGTTTCTGTTTTACCGTTACGTGATGACTGTCTCATTGTAGACAACCTTTTATTCATTGAAAACCGATTATACATTCCATGCACCAAAAATCTTCGACTGGAATTAGTCAACGAGACTCACAACCGCTTGGGCCATTTAGGGTATTTGAAG